TTTGTCATCAGTAAGGCCATAAATATTGCAGCTACCTATCATCCTGTATGCCACCACATGGCTGGATACATGGATCACAAGCGGTAAAACTGTAAAAAAATAAATGTAACCAAAAAAAAATTACAAAATTAGTACTAACGAAACCTCAATTGAGAATGTAGACTTACATCTATTTCTGCTATTCTTATCTGAAAAAAATTGGATGAAATTCTGACAAGCCTTCAAAAACTCCTAATCAACACACATTCCAGCAAACACAAAAATGCATTTCAACAAAGGCTTGGGAATCGAAATCGATCCCTACCCACAATTAGTACGAAGCAATCCAACCAAGATTTGACCGCAAAACAGTCCGCGGAGGTGGCGGTGGTGGTGGTGGTGATAAACCGAGTCGTCGTTGACCGTTTTCTTTGTTTCTGAGGGCACGCTGTGGGGAGGAAATGAAGAACTGTTAATTCGTTTCCGCAACTTTTCTTATGTGGGCTTTATGAAAGAGCCCAATAAGTGAATGGAACCTCGTCTACTGGATTGCTTCGGCCTTGGAGATATTTGAGATCACTATTTTTCTAGTGTAGAAGATCCAAACACTCATCTAACACGTTTTCCAATATTTTTCAAATCGTGATGTGTAATTACTAATCCTATCAGTGTTCATCAAATGATTGGTTTATGATACTAGTTACATTTGAAAGTTATCTAATTAAAGAATGCACAAGTCTTTTCTCATAGTCTCATGTGATACTCCTACTTTTTTTCACATTAAAAATATTACATGAGATTTATTGGTGTTTAGATCATGAGAATATCGACAGATACATTTTAATTTTTATATCCAGTTTGCGAATTCATTCCAAATTTTGTGAATATCGACATATACATCCTAACTTTTATATCCTGCAATAATAATTACACATTTCATAAGGATACTTAAAAGAAGAAGACGAAGGTAGTGAAATCCACCGTCATTAGCACTAATTTTTTATTACTCATTTATAAAATACTCTCTCCATCTCAAAAATTTATATTTTTGTTCGTATCCGTAAAATGCCACAAACCATCAAATCCGATCTTCCGGCCACTCCAATTCAATTAACCTGACGACTTCTCATTAACGGATAGATTTTCTTATATTTGGCGTCATCTTCATCCCGTTGCAGCGCTAAGGTCGTCAAAGTTACCCACATGCAACGTATCTTGTGTACAAATCAACGTGCGACTCCCTTGTATTTTCATGTCGACTAAAAAAAAAAAAAAAAAAAACGTATTCCATGACGCCATTTTATCTTCTCTTGTAATTACAATTAGGTAAGAATTCTCGTAAATAAGAATGTCGCCAAAATTAAAAAGTTAATATGAAAATAGTGTGGGGTGAATATTGTTCTATACACTCTATCCTAAAATAATTGTTCAATTTAAATTTTTACTTTTACCATAATCTGTAAATAAAATTATAAACTGAACAATTATTTGAATAGAAAAAGTACTATGTAGTATGTAGTATAGTAATGAGATGGATGATATGGTACAAACTTCAAAGTAAAGTAAGAATACTTAGAATAATGTCAATGTATAGCTGCTTGCGGATATTCGTTGAACCTTGTATTTGTCGGACAGATTCATGTTTTGTGTACAAGTGACTTGGAATCTAGCTAGATCTTTTGCCTAAATTCACGATTGAAAAATTAATGTTGTTGATTTGGGATATACTCCTATTTTAAGGACGGGCGTTTTGCTCGTTCCGGGTTGAACCGGGACGCGTTTCTTGCGCGTCCCGGTCGAGCCGCCGGACGGCTTCCATGCCCGTCCGGCGGGTAGAAATTTTTTCTTTTTTTTTTTCTTATTTTGTGTGGCCGCCGGACGGCTTCTCTGGCCGTTCGGCAGCCAGAATGCTTTTCTTTTAAAAAAAAAAATTTATTTAATTCGTTATTAGTGTTTAATTATGTTTAATTTAATATAATTAGGGTTATAATGTAGTTATTTATTAATTAATAGTTTATGATTTAGATTGAGGTTCTCTATTAGTTGGTTATTTAGTTTAATTGTGTAAATAATTTAATTTGATTAGTTTGTAAATTAGTTGAGTTCAAAAGACTAATTTAATTAATAGTAGATTAGTTCACTATCTAATTAGTTTAATTGATTAAATTACTTAATTTAAGTAGTTATTAAAGTACTTAGGTTATATTTTTAATTTAATTAATAGTAAATTAGTAAAGCTAATCTAATTTGTTTGTAATGTAATTTATGATTAATTAAATTAATATAAATATTTTGTAAAATAATTGAGTATTTTGGTCTACACCCATGTTTGGACATACCATGTATAAGCTGTTTCACTCTATTGCTAAGGCCCTTCGTGGGATGATCTTCGTCAAACAATTCGTGCTTATGCATTCCAAACTCACCAGGATACACCAAAATGCGCCACTTTCCATCAACTAAGTGCATATATAAATTAAATTTATACCCAGTATTTTGGATTAATTAAATTAAACACACATTCCAATCATTTAAAAAGATATACAATTATAATAAATAATAAAAAAATATACATTTACAGTAAAAAGATTAATTATAAAAATACAAAAATCAACTAATCCAAAATTATTTACTAAATTAAATTTCCCAATACCTACCTAAATAGCTAGAATTCATAAATTTAGCGATTAATTAAATATTTAATTAATTACATTTCCAATTATTTAATTATTTAATTCCCTCCGAAATAAATATTATTTCTAATTAATTAAACCTAAATAAATAAATAAAATTCGACTAATTAAATTACTTAACATAACTAATCAAATTAACAAATAAAAATAATAATATTATTACTTAATTAAATTAACATAACATGTAATAAATAAATAAAATTCAACTAATTAAATTACTTAACATAACTAATTAAATTAACAAATAAATTAATAATATTCCTACTTAATTAAATTAACATAACATGCATGAATTAAAATTAAAAAAATTAAAAAATTAAAAAAAACTGTTCACCGAACCGGCCCGTTCGGTTGGACCGGGTTCAATGGCCGGACGCGCAACACACGCGTCCGGGTTGAACCGGGGACGGGCAAAAAACGCGTCCCGGTTATTGAACCGGACGCGTTTGTTGCGCGTCCATGGTTCAACCGGGACGTGTGTGTCGCGCGTCCAGCCGTGAACGGGGACGGGTTTGTTGCGCGTCCGGTCATGAACCGGGACGCGTTTGTTGCGCGTCCCCGGTTCAACCGGGACGGTTTTCTTGTCCGGTCTTTTTTTTTTAAGTTTTTTTTTTTTATTATGAGTTACTTATTTTGTTTCTCTCTCTAAAGTCATAAATTAGAGGGGCAAAATTGTCCAAATATTTTTTAGGTGGCTTTGAGTACTAAAGGGGGTGGCTTTAAAAATCCATCCCCTTTTTTTATTGCTTTTCGTTTAAATTTGCAAACTTAATTTGCATTTTTTTTTGGGACGTAGGTAGTATAAGAGATATAACAAAGGCTCTTGTATAAATTTTGATGTTTCGAAAAGACTAACTTTTCTCATCTCGAAATAGTTGTGATGATTTTTATATATAACAAATTTATAGAACAATCAACTGAGTTACTGAGAAGAGAATGGGTGGTACATCGATCACTAATGAAGGAACGAGTTTCTGCATGACGTTGACAATTCGACATGTGTCTTCACCAGAAGTTGACATTGTTCTTCGAAATGCAAATGACACTTATTCACAATTGGTTAATCATAAATTCATAATATGCGGTGTCCAAAAAAAGTTAATTCATATGCAGGAGGCTGAGTGGTGAAGGGAGGTGCTGGAAATTCATCCTCATGCAAATCTTGTTTTGAGATGTCTCTACTATACCCAAATCCTAACAAGAATTGGATTAATAATTGCTCCATTTATTCCAAAAAAATTAATCTAAATTGAATTTTTAAATGTAATCTAAAGTTAACATAAATCTCAAAATTCACTGTAAATTATTTCTTTAAGCAAAGATAACATATTAAACAGACATGCATGATTAATTAATCGATCAGCAGTTTTGTGAAGTTTTCAGCATTATAATTATATTCGATATACCAAAAAATGAAACGAGACACACCGTTTAGCTAGGTCGTGTAGAAAGATTATATGAAAATTATAAAAGTAACCAAACAAAATTTTTAAACCATAATAATACATGTTAGAGAGAAATTTTAAAATATATAATACACTTTTGTGTGGGATTATATAGTGCACTTTTATGAGGTAGGTCAATAGATTTATTCATGTCGTAAAACACAACAATGGCATCATTTCTTCACATTTAATACAATAAGCAGATTGTTTAACAATAAAATGAACTGCATCGGGCAAAAAGGGCATAATTACTTATTTCCTTAGTTGCTTTGTTAGAGTTTGAATGAATTGCTCAATTCTTTTTTTATACAAAAGACAAGGTCTAAGTTGGACAATGATTATTAACGAATTTTCTTCAAAGAAACGGAAGCAAACGTCCAGTTTTATGTTATGATCTTTTATTTTAATAAAGGTTGGAAGTTAATATACTCTGATAGGGGTTTTTTTTAAAAAAAAGGTTGGAAGTTAATAATATTATGTATGGTGAAATAATGATTATTGATGTCAAGATTTTGATGGATTTACTTTCGGTAATTTGATCCTCGAATAAGAACTGGCATGTGTCATTTAATCATTTAGATTAATGATTAAATACATATTAATCATTGAAGTATAGTGTCACAATGTGTGACATACAAAAAAGTAAGGTGGCTGACAAAAGAAGTATCTGTGTGATATAATCCGATTTTATCTCAACCGTTTATTTATAACTTAAATATTCATTTTATTTCAAAATTATAATTTTGTTTAATATACTAATTTAAGTTCTTTTCTTCTTTTCCCCACACAAATTAAGAAAAAGTAAAAACAAGTGGCCAATGTTTCATCATATAAATAGGATGTTTCCATTTTCCACACAATAAATATTGAATAGTATTCCACCATGGAAACCCCAAGAGAAGGAGAAGGTCCTGATGGCCGAAATATTGAGCCGCCGGTGAACAATCCTTTATGGCTGGATCTTCATCATCAAACACCTCCAAAGAATATCAGTGTCATGGAATCCACCTCCTCATCATTATCAGATGTAGAGGCATCAACCGTCGACACTGATATCTTCGAAATGTTGTCAAACGCTGAGCTTTATCCAGCCGCCACCTTGTCGCCGCTGTCGACGGACCAAGCAATATCCAATATTCTTGAAAGCAGCAGCAGCCATGGTTATGAAGAACTGCGTTGTTTATTGGAGGAGATGGAGGAATCCAACGAGCATAAGAAGAAGAAGAAGAAGAAGCCTAGCCCTGAAGTCCCACAAATTACTCCAAGTGTTGTGAGTATATATTATATCAATTACTTGTGCTCCCGTTTCTTATAGCAACTCAACTTCTTTGATCTTTTGAAAAGTTATGATCAGTGATGACTAATGTGTAGGGATTTAGGGTTTTTATTGTCCGCCTAAAACTAGTCGCATTAAAATAACTGGCTTTATAATTCTTGATGAAAATATATTTGCATACACCCTGGCTAAGAGCGGCAAAATTTATCCAAATATACTACTCTCTCCGTTTATGATTTGTACTGTATGTTCTCAAAACACAAGATGGGTTATTTTTTGTGACAGATGGAGTACCAGTTTGTTTTGTTATATCCTTTTGTTTTAGAATGGGGAAGAAATAGAGTTGTGTCTACGAATGGATATATGATTTATAGAGTACTGTTGTGTTGACGCATGTTGGTCCATTTATACATACATCCAGATGATTCTGTGTAATGTGTTTTTTTTTTTTTTTTTACTGCATGGATTGCGTTTTAAAAATAATTGTTCTGGGAAAGAATGAAAATATATATATTTTGTGGGACTAGTAGTAGATTTACATTTCAGAACATGCATGGAAGCATGCAATAATGAACACAATATGGCGAGGTACTAGAAGATACTTTGAATGTTCTTTTTTTTGTGCGACTCTATCTAAATTTGGAAGAAAGGAGGGTAAGTTTACCAATTATGAAAGGTGAAAAAAATTTAAAAGGAGGGTAAATTTAGATGGATGCATGCTACATCTTTTATGAGTAGACAAATTTAAGAGGAGTGGGAAAAAGTGAAAAAATCAATTTTGGGTAATAAGAGTAACTCAAGGATGAGTAGAAATACTATTATTTTATTTTATTTTCTATTTTTTCTATAAAAAAAATGCCTTCTAATTTCCGAGGTCAAACTCTAAACTAATGAAATCATATCAAAAACATCTTGTTTAAAAAGTGGCATGGATGCATGAATCACTTGCTCTTTCGTTTCTGCTAGAATATGAACAAAAAATATTTATTGAAGCTTGGCATCTTCCCCAGCGGCCCAGCTTCTCTGTGGCTTCATCTCCGCATCCGATATGCGACATAATCAAAGTCCTTGTGCTACTTCCTCCCTCGTAAATGACAATATTTCTTATTTATCTGTACGTTGCATAAATTGGTTAGTTTTAATTTGTTAGATGTTTCAAAAAATGATTTTTATGTCCTAGATTGTTTTAAAATAAATTTGCTCAACAACTTCACACTTACTATTTCTATTAAAATGGGATACTTTCCTCTTTTTTCTAGTGCCAAAACATACCCTAATACCACAGCTTAAACCACATAACCATTCAAAATGAATGTCGTAGCATGAAACTCCTTTTCCTTAGATCATTTCAGTCTCACACTCATAATTATATGAAAACCCCCCTTCTTGGAATCGAAATACTGGACCTCATAGAGATCCTCTAGAACTTTTGAAGCATAGTAAACCTAATAAAGTTGTGGCAAGTTACCTAAAATCATTCGCCTATTGTTAAGGAGAGAGTTGTAGCAATTTAGCATTTCCCATGGATCAAATTTATTAGTTTCTCTAAGTGGCCATTTTAGTAATGCGACTGAATTGCCAAACAGAAGCATTCTTTGGGCAACGGTTAAGAAAATCAAAATGTAACTCTTATAGCTGAATCTATTTATGGGGGAATATATATGTTGTAGTGCACTTACGATGATTAACTTGCATGAATGAGTATTCAAGTAAGTAATTTTTATGGGGTTTTGACTATGCCTTAAAAGAATTCGTCCAAATCAAATGAATATTTCTATTAATTAATGTGGTATACTTGTATGTATAGGATGCTGAGAAACGTAAAAGGGACTCGGATTGCTATACAAGTAGACAAGATGTTAGGCCAAGAGGATGTAGATCCAACGAAAACCATAACATGGCCGAGAGGGTATTATTATTTTCGTGGCAATTATTTCATCGATTTAATTTGTTATTCGCTCCTATCCATATTAAGACATTTTGATTTGTCCCATGTCTCATCTAACGCATTTTTAATTGATAAAAAAAACTTTAAAAATATATCTTCACATCTGATGTGTATTCTAATATTTTTAACATTTTTTTCGTCAATTAAAAATACGTACTAGTTAAAACCTAGAACAAATCAGAATGTCTTATATTAAAGACCAGTATTGCACTAGTACTATCTATGCCATCATTATTTATTTATTCTTGTTCTGTGTGGTAATAGTAGTAGTAGTTTTTTTTTTTTTTTTTTTTTCCTTTGCCTATCTATTCATTCCAATGTGCATAATTTTCTGGATGAGAGCCACTCTAGATCCTAGAAAAAAAAAAAAAGAAAGAAAAAGAAGGTGAATTTACTCATTTCTGATGGAGTCTAAGGCGTCAAATTATGGTTTACGCATTGATCTTGCAAAGTACGTTGTGCTTGTTTTACAGACACGCAGAGACCAAATCAGGAGAAACATGAAAGATCTTCAAGATTTGATTCCAAACTGCAATACGGTGATTTAAATAGCTATCCTTAATGTTCTTCCTACTTGATTCATTGAAAGGATTAAACAAGGTCCTGGGAAACTTTTGTTTTTATAATAGTATATAATTTCCGCCCCAAGCTCTGTTTTTACTCTGCTTTGCTCTGTTCCTGTTCTTTCCATTACCAAACATCTGTCCTTATAACTCTCAGAGGTGCAAGGCTTCTATGCTTAATGATGCAATCATATATATAAAATCCTTGCAAAATCAAGTTGAGGTAATGAAATTGATTGTTTCCAAACTTTCCTTTTCAAAAAGGGATGTTGTCCGTGCGTTCCCAAAATAAGAGTCTTGTTTACTGGTGTGATCCAGGTATTATCTTCGGGAGGATTTTCTATGTTCCAGGATCCAACCATATTACCTTCAGCAGGCTATCAGATTGTTCAGACGCCGCAATTCCCTCCATTTACGCCGATGGATCGGTTCGGGATCAGAACTGGTATGGGAATGTTTAACTTCCCTCCTATATCCTCTGTTCCATTCATGCCATTTGCATTTCCAGTTCCTGGTCAGTTAACTCCGCTGCCATCAGCCCCTGGAATGAACCTGAGTTTTGGACAAATGAATCACCTGGAATTGCCCCCAGATTCCGCTTTGATGGCTCCATCACTACCATCTTTTTATCCAAACTTGCCTCCTACAATTGCGTCTTCCTTTGATGGAGGTTGGAGTACTAGTTCACAAACTGTGCGGAAATCTTTAAATCTCTCCTCCCAACCGCCTTAGATGAGCCAGGTAGTAATATTTCTATGTCTATGGTCATTATTTAACGTTGGGCACCGAATTTCATATCACACGTAACAGTAACATGGTCTCAAAACCTATTAGTTAAAAACGTCGTTGTTACTATTTGTTAATTACTCAATGGACTAAGCAAAGTTATGTACTAATAACCAAATTGGATGTTTAAGAGGATAAAAGTTGGTTAAGACTAAAGTGTACGTAACCTGATTGTATTAACTTCAATGTTGGAAATTTGCAGGGATTTGCAAATGTAATGGTTCATCCAAGTCAAACCACAATGCCTGTTTCTTCATCAAGTACCGACAGGGTCACCGATGTTCCTGGAAATCCTAATCGAAGGCGGCGATAGTGATTAATCTTGCCAGGACATTTGTTGGTTCTCCTTTTAAAAATTTTTCTGCACTTTTAAATAATCCTAGTGTTGTTTTCGTGAGCTTAGAGAGATCTTATTAGCAAAATATTTCAAGTTTTCAGCTTGAGTTGTTTCTTCAGGATGTGAATGTAAAATCAACCCTCCAGCTGTCCAGCAGTAGATTGAGATCGACTTTTGTAATAATTGATCGGAAAGGTATCAATTTGGGCCTCCGTCCAATTGATTTACTCTACTATGAGTCAACTAGCATGAAATCTAGGGATACGCGCGCCGAAATAACAATACCGTCGCAAATAATCTGGCTAAGTTTGCCTTTTTTTGCCCTATCGCAAAACACATTTTGTCAACACCTCCGACGAACGTCAGGGAAAAGTTAGATGCAGATAGAGTCAACATCCCATTATCTAGGGATGCTTTGGTACCCTAAGCCATTAGGCTTCCCAAGTATGTAAGAAAAAAAAACTAGCATGGAATCTTTTTTTGTGCGTACTTTTGGTTTATCACAAAAATTTCACCATTATTATGACTTACATTTGTGTTTCGATGCTTAGAATTGGGATTTCTAGCTGTGTGGGAAAATCAAGAGGCCAAAAGTTTCACTTGATAACAAGACGGAATTCAAACACTATTGTGTTTCTTTAAATCAGAAAAAATGGAGATCTTTCTTTCAACTACTGGGGCATTTGTAAAAGCCCAAATGACCTCTGCCATGTTATGTTATGTGGGCTTTGAGAACAGAGAGTTTAAGTAATTGGCCTAACATGCAAACCACGATTAGATGAAATCTGATTATTGGAAGAACATATCTCCCATCGTGTTTAATTTAGATTTCAGCTTATGCTTCCTTTATTGTGTCAAAATAAAAAATAAAATGAAAAGAGGAAAAGGAAAAAGCTGATATAGAATAGTGTAGATTCGACAGTTTGATGTTGGATTAATATACTTGTAAAGTTTCGTGATTCTTGAAATCATTACATGTGTAATACAGTGAGCTTTCATTTTTCTTTTTTACTTAATTATGAACAAGATTGAGGAGCTTTGTTACACAAGATCGAAGTTTCGATTCTGCAAAATATACAGTTAATTAGTAATTTAAAATTTAAAGGAATGATTCAAGATGGTAATGATGTGTTTATTGAAATTATCTCAAAAGCGTTGTTTGACGGTATGGAAGAAATACATATATATAGTGGGCTCAATGATGGTGTTTGCGTTATCTTTGTGAATTGTGATGATGGCACCACAAAAACAAAAACAAAAAAAGTTTGCACAATAAGTAGATTTGCCAAAATTACAGTATAATATATTAGTTTACAATATTAGAATAGTTGTTATTTTCTGATTCAATTTGGTGTAGATAACCATGTGTACAGAATTTTGTGAGTTTTGCTTAATATTTTCACCTTTTTGCCCACAAAAAGGTTGGTTTACTCAGAGTGATTGTGTTAACAGCTATTATATTGATAATAGATATTCCCTCCCAAAATTATTATCCAGTTTGGGATTTTACTTTTAGTACAATTTGAACTGAAAATAAAATTCAAATTTAACAATAACTTTGGGACAGAGAGAGTACCTTACAAGAAAAAAGAAACAAGAGTTAACTATGTTGGATTCATTTTCCATATTGAAGTGACACTATTCTTACTAAGTGATAGTAGAGCCTGATTCAATTTAAACTAAATAATTATCCCTTCTATTTAAAAAAATGAATAATTCAATAAATTGGATTATTTATCTATTATGAAAGAAGTATAACATCATATAGACAATAATTGTTTTGAATCAGAGTTAGATAATAAATCAATTGTGGCAATTCTATTGGTTGACTTGACTCGATAGCCCCAGCAAAAACAATTTATTGGATGCACCTGGGGCACCATGCTCTCCCTCCTATTTTTTATACTCCTAGTTCTTATTACACTTTTTTCCACTTTTCTAAATAACATCCTATAATTTACAGGTTTAGTCCCTTTGTTTTTTTTCTCTCCTTTAAAAAAATCTCTAATCTTTAAACGACCATATCTAATGATCCGTAAAAAATTAGAGAATGTGTTATACATGAAAATTATAGTACTCGTCGAGATCTATCCAACAAGATCCATGTTGAATATTTTTTTCGAGTTTAAAAATGACCAAATTTCGATGGGCAGAATAAGATGAATATCTAGTTTAGAAAGATGGATAACCAGTTTAGTTTAGATTAAGATTCTCGTATTGCATATATCTCTTGATCCGTAAAGAATTCGAATACGAATTATGCATGAAATTTATAGTGCTCGACGAAATCTATCCGATAAGATCCATGTTGAATATTTTTTTTGAACTTTAAATGCATTTAAATTTTACGGGCAGAAATGAAGAAATGTGTTTTTCGTTTTTCTTTGAAAAATGGTTATCCGTTGTGTTCCTACTGATTATCCAACCGGTTTGCACTGATTATCCATTCTGTTTGTACTTTTTATCCAATCATATTTTTGGCACTCACTCTTCAGAAAAAAAAAAAAAAATGATTGGATAAGCATTGCAAACAATTTGGATAATCAATAAAAAATAATTGGATAATCAGTGCAACACGTTGGATAATCAGTACAAAAAATTTTGACAATCATTTTCATAAAAGAGGAAGGAAAAAAAAATACAAACAGTTTGGATAGCTATATAAATATGTTGGATAATCAGTACACACAAGTTGGATAGACACACAAACCAAGAAGTGGATGAATATCCAGTACAAGCGAGTTGGATATCCAGTAGAAACAAGTCGGATATGTATACAAACCCGTTGGATTACAACTACAAAACAAGTTGGATAGGTATACAAACTAAATGTATGTATATCCAGTACAAACAAGTTGGATATCCATTTCAAACAAGTGGGATATCCATTACAAACAAGTTGGATAGACATACAAACCAAATGGATAAGCAGTACAAATAAAATGGATAACCAGTTCAAACTGATTGGATAATCAACATGAACACAATGGATAACCAATTTAAAACAAGTTGGTTATCCATCTTGTAAAACTAGATATTCACCTTTATTCTGCCCATCAGAATTAAGTCATTTTTAAGCCTGGAAAAAATTCACTATGGATCTTGTTGGATAGATCTCGACGAGTACTATAAATTTCATACATAATTCGTTCACAAATTATTCACGGATTAGGAAATATGCTCGTTGAAAGATTAGAGATGTTTTTTGGAAGAGAGAGAAAAAATGACAGGGACTAAACATGCAAAATATAAAAAAAAATTGATAAAAAAGTACAATAAGAACTAGAAATAGAAAAAATAGGAGGGGTACACGGTGCCCCCAGTATACTGGATACAGACTCCCAGCAAAGGCCAGAATTTAGACAAATAATTTATGATATTTTAATACCAGATATATTTAATTGATTTTAATGTTGGCTGTTTGGTGACAAAGGGTTTTTTTGCCACTCAACTATGATATTGATTACACATCAAATACAGTCAGTATTATTGGAAAAGCAAGTAGCAATTCAGATTAATTAAAGAAACTAAGAAGACATGGGTTTGGTTTGACCCTTGAAAATTTTGTAACCGATACACAAGACAACATAAAGAATATTCAAATAATTTACAATCTAGACTGTTGAAGGTTATTGAAATAATCCTGAGGCAAAATTTCACATTTTACTACTATCTTAAGTAGCATCTAGTTTAGATGGTTATCGACGATTTTATGGTCTATATTCTGGAAAACGATATTATCAACGTCTTTCACTTACGAAATACTATGTGTGTTTAAGTTGTTAAGATATTATCAATGATGTACGATCTGTTAAAAAGGAGTTTTTTTAAATGGCTTATTTTGCATGATCAAACCAGTCAGTAACTCTGACAGAGATTAGTAATTTTTTTATATATATAACTTTTAACTAGCTATTTGAAACTTTTCATCAAAGGATATTCCACTAAGCAAAAAAGATCACTTTTTTACAGCTTTTGTTTGGTTAATGCTCTCCAGTTTTACCAACATACCTTAACTTAACAATCCAAAGTGCCCATAATTTGAGTTCCCCAAACCTAATCTGTTTGGGGGGTGCTTCCAAAAAAAGCATGTCTCTGGGGATGCATTGGTAAATTGAAAAAAATAAAATAAAATTGAAAAGAGAATAAAAAGATGAAATTCATAAAGGCAAAAAGGTGAAAAAAGGTTGATCAAATATGGGGAGGTCGAAAAAAATGAAGCACGCCAACCATACATTTAACACCATTCCCGGGACTAAAATGCATATTCCAAGCCCAAATATATGTATACAAGTGTGTTATGATGTATTTTATAGGCGTGACACAACAAAGGCTGCATCTTAATTTTTCTTGGACTCCCTCAATACCTCCACTAATAACTTATCTTTATGCACATTAAAACTTCTTATGAACAAAACCCTAAAAATAGTAATTGAGTAGAAGACATGCATGATAATTCAAATTAAAGGTCTCAATCGTAGGAAATTAGGAATGCCCTTGATTATCAATTGTGATGTTTTCCATGGTCCTTAATTTGACATTATGAAAACCCTAATTTAAGTTTAGGACCACTATATCATAGCACAAACAGTGATTACTTAAAAAAGAA